CATCTGGTGCTCCGACATCAAGAAAGAAAGGAAATTGTGGTTTTATATATTCTGCGTGCAATTAGAATTAGGTTAGGGTTTGGCGTCATGGTGGAATCATTTGGATGGTGGCGCATCAAATAGTCGTGCCTTGATTTTCATTGCATCTCAACAACATTGTAGACTCGATGAGTTTGTCGTCCTTGGGCATGTGTTTCAGCTTTAGCCTGTAGGTGGTGTAGGTTTGGTCATCAACTTTGATCTTGTTAACGGTGACGGCTTCGTTCTGTCTACAAATTGTTTTCATCCAGGGGCATACGTGCTCCGGGTTGCCAGTTCTCGCTAACTTTGGCGACGGTAGCATGACCATTAACACAGATATAGGGTAGTCCCTTACCGATTCGCCTTCTTCTTCATATCCCATGTGTTTGCATGTGGTGGATGGCTACTTCAGCAACACCTATGGGATATATCTTCTAAAGGTATGTTGTAGGCAACTCAATTGTTACACTTCCCACATTCTTTCTCTCCATCGGCGATGTGATGGTAACGAAGCGAGCATTATGGAATTTGTCCAGAATGATATTCTTGGGGATTTAGGTATAACTCTAAGCTTTCTAAGGGTATTTTCTATAAAAGTAGGAACATATGTCCTCTTCATGTTCCATTTGCACTTATTTCATTATCTAATATAATCTAGGTACTAGTGCCAAGAACTCTGGTTTGTTTGCTCTGCTCATGGACATGCTCACCAAGTAGATCTCAATCGAATGAAGATGTGTTAACACGAATGCATGTTTCATCGTAAAACAACTCCAAGCAAAATAGACTATATAAACCGAAGTGCACTGGGTGGATCTCATCATGGTGAATTTTCCTTTTGAGAGAATAATGGTGAACACACAAAAAGGCGATCACGGTACAAGTAGAAGGTGAGATGGGACACAACACGACTTTTTCTAGTTACTGTTATCCATGGACGAGAAATGCATACGTAATAGGAGCGATGGACATCGAGAGGCATGTTCGACCAAAAGACCTACCAAACGATGGTCTACGTGAAAACAATGCTTTCTAGGCATCACAATAATCAAAGCTCCTATCTGACTAAAACTACCAATAATGGCATGAGCCTTCCCAGACCACACTAGTGGATGGCTCTTGGGTTGGGTGGAAACTCAAAGATACGTCTAGTTTTTAACATTTTTTGTTCTCAAGTTCTAGTTTCAAAGTACATACAGAAAAGGATTCTAATTTCAAAGTTGGCTTTCTCATCTTCTCCTTTCTTATATAAAAGAAAATCTTCTCTCTATGGATGATAAGGGGATGTTCATTTCTCCGCCTCCTCGAACCGGTGGTTCCCACTCCAGTCTGCCACTCCAACACTGGGAAGCAAGGAAACTTCAGTTTTATGTGTTTCGCATGTAGTTAGAGTTAGGTTAGGGTTTGGTGTTGTCGTGGAATGGTTTGGATGGTGGCAACGGTGGCGTGTCAAACAGACGTGCCTTGATTTCGTTTCCATCTCAACAACATTGAAGAGTCAATGGGTCTACCGTCGTTGGGCATGTGTATCAGCTTTATGTGGTGTACGTTTGGTTTTGTTGGTGGTGGCAACTTAGTTTTGTGTGCAGATTATTCCTACCCAGGGGCATACGTGCTCCAGATCGCTAATTCCCGCTAGCGATGGTCATGCTGGGATGACCGTTAACATGGATAGAGGGAAGTCCCTTACCAATTCATGGACTTCTCCATATCCCATTGTTTGGATGTGGTCAATGGCTACTGCGGCAACATCTATGAGATATGTCTTCTAAAGGTTTGTGTAGGCGACTCAGTTGTTGCACTTCCCGCATTCGTTTTCAACATCCGTGATGTGATGGTGACCAAGCGAGCGTTGGGAAATAAGTCCAAAATGATATTCTTGTGGATTTATACGTAATTCTAAGCTTTCCTATGGTATTTTCTATAAAAGTGGGAACAAATGTTCTCCACATGTTCCATTTGCACTTATTTTCAATATTTAATACTCCCTCCATTTCTTTTTAGTCTGCATATAAGATTTGGTCAAAACCAAACTTTGTTAACTTTGACTGAGTTTATAGAAAAAAATATCAAGATTCACAATATGAAATCAATATTGTTAGATGCATCATGAAATTAATTTTCATATCATATAGTTTTAGTATTGTAGACATTGATATTTTTTCCTACAAAGTTTGACTTTGACCAAATCTTATATGCAGACTAAAAAGAAACAGAGGGAGTATAATCTAGGCATTGGTGCTAAAAATCTGGTTTGTTTGCTCTAAACATGCACCTTCTCACCAAATGAGCCCTACCGAATGAAGATTTGTCATCACGAATGCATGAAACGATGATTACGCCTATTCTCTTGTGCAGACAAATTTCCCCTGGTTCGCCACAATAAACTCGAAGGGAGACATAGAGTATATAGAGCGAAGTGCACTGGGTGGATCTCACCATGGTGATTTTTCCTTTTCGAGAGAATAATGGTGAACATTGGACATGCCAATTTTATCAATCATAAAGCATCGGATACACAAAAAGACAATCATAGTAGAACTTGAAGGTGAGATGTGACGCTCAACATAATGTTTGAGTCACTCTTGATCTGCAATGGACATTGAGGGCATGTTCGGCCAAAGACCCACCCAACGATGGTCTTCATGAAAAATATGCAAGGCATCACGTGAAGCAAATATTTCATCTAACTAAAAACACCGTTTCTAGCCACCCCCCCCCCCCGGTCGCCGCCATTAAAGCCTGTGCAACCCTTATCAGAGAGTTTGTACACCAACAGGTTGCAGATCGACTACTTTTGCTATCTTACTTGTATCTCAAAAGCTTGCAAGGCGGATATGGTTGTACATGTCTGATAATCAATGATCAAAATGTTCCTTTTTTTACTGAAGATAGTAGGTGAATTACCTATTGCAATTAAATTAAGTTAATAAAAAAATTTAAAGTAAGTTACAACAAGGCAAGAAAAAGAAAGAGTGAGCTATTACTGGAAGTTGGTGACCCAGTCAGCAAGACCAACATATGACCCTATGAAGAAGAAGCATAAGCTCATCTATAAGCATATGCTTTCAAAAATAAGTCATTTCAGAAAAATCCAAATGCTCCAGATCACCAAGATGATTTAATCCATAAAGAAAGTGATATTGAGAACATTCTTCATTCTGAAGTCTAACTAGATTGCCCAAAAGATATTTAGAGAGCTTGATATTCAGGCACATATACTTCCATCACATCGAGCAAAGTGGCATTCGAACAAGATATGATCTCTAGTTTCAACCAAATGATGATTGCACATGGCACATTCACAGGAGGGAGAGTAAAAAGTTTTCCTTTGGAGAAACGCCCTTGTATTCAGTTTCTCAATGAGCACAAACAAAAATAAAACTTGATGTTTGCGATGAACACAAGATTTGCATAACTATTTGAAGACAATTAGAGTGATATGATGACTTTAAAAAGTTCATAAATCCTAGAAGTGGGAAAGGAAGTGCCCCAGTTGTATTTCCAAGAAACAAGTTGTGCATATGGATTCATGCCTTGTATTTGTTGCCAAAGAGACAACAATGGAGTAAAGGAAGGCTAAAAAATGGAAATAAAAAGTATCTCTTAACTTATTATCTAGAAAATGGTCTATAAAATTGTTGTATCCAAAGCAAATGAGTACATGTGCGACATATTCATATATAGATCAGGTGCAATCACCTTGTCTTGCCAGAAAAAAATTGAATTGTCATCACAAGTTATAGAAATATCATCCCCTTGAAAGTCATGAGAAGAAAGATGGAACCTCTCGACCATAAAGAAGCCTCTGTGTGACCCTGATATTGGCGGCATGCAGTATACTAAAGCTACCAACAAGATGAACCTAGGGAATATTTGAATGGTTGTAGAATTTCTTTAATATTATCAAGATTAGGGCAATGATATGTTTCTCCAAGTTCAGCACCCATAGGCCTCCTTCACTTTTGGGCTTAAAACTAATTCCCAAGCATCTAGGATGGGTCTTTTTAGTCAAATTATGACCTAGCCATAACAAATATCTTTTGTATTCATCCATCTACTTTATTGCTCATCTGGGAATTGGAAATGTACTCATGAAGGACGTAGGCAAAGAATATATAACCGAGTTCACTAATTGCATCCTTCCATTATAGGTGATAAAGTTGGAACATCAAGCAAATCTCCTTTTTACTCTTTGGAACATGGGAAAGGAATCTTGAATTATTGACTTTGTGAGCCAAGAGGCAAACATATATAACAAATGACAAAGTCCCCCATTCGATAATTTAGAGCACTAGTCGGGCTAGCAGTATCACGAGCTTCCATATTAATGGTAACTGATTATGATTTTTGAGAACTAATCTTTAACCTTGTGGAGGTTGTAAATTCTTGCAAAATCCTATGCAAACGCAGGAGCAATATCAGCAGACATGGTAACAAGAGTTCCATCAACATATTACACCACATAAAAATCATGACAAGAAACAAGAGAAATATGTCACTCTAAGAGATGATATGTCATGGCCTTATTAACCACTCTTTGTAGAAGGTCTTTGCAGCCAACACAAAGAACAAAGGGAAAATTATCCTCTTACCTAACAAGTATTATGTGGT